TTCTACCTGGGCATAACCATCATCCCATCAACTCCCCTAGACCCCAGTACAGTGCCCTCTTCCAGCAGGAAGCAGTTAAAGAAAGGAATCTTCACCCCTTTTCATAATAATAATCATAAGACAGGATATGAAAGAATTTTGGCCCAGGCCGGACACTGTAGCTGGAAAAGCCTCAGCCAGAACCAAGGAGCTCCATCTCCCCACCCCTAGGAATTTACCTATGGCGCCATAGGTAAATGGATGTAAATACTCATTATCTAAACAAAGACCAATGGGCTACCTGTACATCCCTAATGCCCCCTTAGGTTCCACCCCAAACCAAGGCTACTTATATGCCTCCACTCCATGTGTTCCATGGAGAGATCGCCAACCCCGGGAGGAGATGCTGCACCCCAGGGGATCAGGGGTGTCTTTTCCCGCATTCTCAAAATAAAGGTCATTTATATCTCATACTTCTTATCTTTTCAGCTGCCACCAGTCCCCCACAGTTCTATCAACCTCCACGTCATTTCTGTTAGTCTCCTACTAACAATGTTTCACAGACTCCAGAAATGTCCCTGTCACGGTCTAAACTCTGAAAGCAACACCACACAGGGAAAAATATCTCACAGCAGAGCTGCTCCTACTGAGTTTTAAAAGCTACTCCTTTGCCAGGAAATTTTCCCACAAAACAATATAGAAACACAAGATCTCTAAATATGGAAAAGTTTTTTATTGTTTTATATTATTCAAGTGGGCCCTTTCACTTAAATAACTATCCACAAACCTTAAGTCATTAAAAAACAAAAACCTACTTTTTTATGTATGAAAAGAGACCCATTAGCTTCTTACTGGCAAGAAAGAAAAGGTCAGCACAGCAAAAGCAGAAAATGAAAGAGGAGCTCTAAGTGGGGAAGCAGCGACAGTGAAATATGGAAAGAGGCAGAGCAGGTCTAACACCTCAGATCAGCTACACCTTAAACACCAAGATTCCAAAATAACCCGGGCATGGTGGCGCACACCTGTAATCCCCGCACTTTGTGAGGCTGAGGCAGAAGGATTGGAAGTCCAGGTGGATCATTTAGTGATTTAGTAGACCCTGTTTCAAAAACAGAAACAAACAACAAAAAAATAACGAGGGGAGGGGCAATGGAAATGATCAAGATACAATCCCAAGATGAATGCAACTATTATGTACTACAAACAAAACATATTAACAAAAACTTGTAATAATGATGAGAAAGTAGCTCAGAGCAAAAGCCTTGGGTTCATTTCCCAGTACCACAAAAATAAATCCACATACATATTTCTGAATTCAATCCCAGTGAGGTTTTCATCTCTGCTCCCTTTTAACTTACTTGGGTATTATTTATCAGAACTCACTAGTTTCATAACCCCACTTTAGCTAAGCCATTATACACTACTAAAGATTTGTTATTCTGCTTTAGTTTTAATTAAATAAGCATCAAGAAAATTTAATATATTAAAAATATTTCAGAGGAAAATCTAACTAAATAAACTTTATCCTTTTCAAGAGAAAATGGCATCACTGCTATGTATACATCAAATTCTTGACAAAGAAATGATAGGCTATTAATCAGAGCAGAGGTTATACGGCCCCACCACTCACTCTATATCAACATTAATATTCCAATCAACTGTCTCAAGGAATAAACTAGATTACTTTGTAATACACCAAGTCAAGCTTTTAGAGTAAATGAACTTGAATGAATTAGTATTAATTGTAACAGATTTTTAACAAGTTGAAGCCTGAATCTAACCTAAAGTACTTAAATAAATCATTAGCAGCCAATTTTAAATTCTCAGTCTTGGTTTTTTAGTTAACTCTTTTAGCACACATAACAGTAATCAAACTGGAGTGAAATTGATTATTAACCATCATTTCATTATTGTGTTTACATAAACAAGGCTCTACATCTCAGCAGGAATCACGAGAACTATCATCTTAACCGTCATATTCCTGCAGGTATGATGAATCCTAGATTCTAGTCTCAGATCTATTGCTGAACTTGAAGTTAGTTACATGACCTTGGGCAAGTTCCTTAATATCTCAGTCTCTTTTTCTCGTCTGTAAAATATAGAAATTTGACGAGACCTTTTCCAGTAGTAAAATCCTATGGATATTTATGTTCCTTTCAATGTTGGATTTTGCATCAAAGGAAATGGATGAAAATACTCATTATCTAAGCATCTAAGGTTCACTGACATTGCCTCACTCTGAACACACAGGCGGCTATGTCCAGCTCTAATCTTCAAAGTTACACCTAAAATAAGACTTTTGAGTCCTCGAAAGGCTGAAAAGAAAAGCATCACACTTACACTGTTAATAAGATACAAGAACTTTTTTCTTTGAATTGAGAGGTTACAACAGGGGAAACTAGGAGTTATAACTGCAAAGACTGCTCCATGTTTTTAGCTAGGAACGTGAGCACAGTGTTCCTTGATCCATATAAATTATTCCAGCTAGATATCTGTATTGCTACTGACTCATCAAAAAAGTCAAATGAGTTTAAACTTTCAGTAGAATATAGATCTACTCCTTTCATACTCTCTGATGTTTTGATTATTATTTATATTCATTCAGAATTATGTAATTACTGGGACTGGGAATTCAGAATTAGGTGCTATGAGCTGAAGTCCAAAGGTTCTGGTTCTGCTTAAAATAATAAAACTCCAAATCTGAAGAAAATTCAAGTCTAACTTTCTCATACCCTCTCTCAGTTAGACAATTCAAGTCTAATTCCTTTCACTGAGTAAAACAGCTAGAACACTGATTTTCCCATTGTCCCACAGATAGCAAGTGACAGTGAGCCCAGTCATCTTTCTAGTTCTGCATACAATGCCCTCGATATATGCAGACGACAAGGTCATCTCCAAAATTATTTCTGGTTTACATTCCTAGGCTCCTGTGGAAAGAAAACAAAAAATCTAGATGTTTTACAATCCTACTGAAAACAACTAGGTTTTTTATTTTCTGGACGAAAGAGAGGTCTACCCACTGAAGTTCTTGGTTGTAAATAACAAAAACAACCTGCTAATTTAGAAAGAAAGAGTATGTTTTAAAGACTTGTTTGGTAGCTACCAGAATACATGGAGAAACAGACCAGCAGAATACCAGGAAGAGCATCTAGGCAGCAGCTAAGCCCAAAACAGAAAGTAGGTCACAGAGCAGACTGGTGTGACTCCCACCTCTGCAGCCACTGCGCTCTGGATTCTAAATCTCAGCAGCACAGCAGGGTGAGCACTGTGGATCTGGCCTGTTCAGCTTCTACCATAGAAGGGAGGCTCTGCCTACCCTGAATACAGGAAAGGGTTCAGTGCGGGGAGAGAAAGAGAGAGCCAGAGCCAGAAACAGGAGAAATAACATGATAGACAGACAACTAGATAGACAGATGATAGATAGATAGATAGATAGATAGATAGATAGATAGATAGACAGACAGACACAGATAGGGACAGTGACATGGACAGATTGGATAGGTAAAGATTCTTGTCCAAAACAAGTACCAATACATTTCAAAAATGTAAAGAAATACATCCTGGTCTATATAAATTAAATCCTTTTTAAAGTGCCTTAAAATGATCACTGTGTAAAATCCAAATCAGTATCAAGAATTTTTCAATAATAGTATGAAAGTCCATTTTAACATGTGTAATATAGTATATCTGGGAAGACACACAAAAAATGTCAATGTCATTATCTTTGAATGGTGGAAAATGAGTAATTTTTAAAAATGTATTCTCAACTGCAGCTTCTAAATTTCCCCGTAATTTATATGCCATTTGTGTGGAATAATTTTTTATCAAAATAATAATGGAGTGCAGTCTAAGTCTACTGTAATTTCTATAATATCAAAGATTTTAACAACACATGATTCTTTACAAGAAAATACATATAGTTTTTTATGGCAATCACCAAAAAAATTCCTTTTTTCACACAAAATATCTGTAAAGAGTGAAATCTTTTAAACTATTCTTTGAAAACAAGTAATACAGCTCCAACGTCAAAAGGATTTAGTGTCTCAAATACCTTGTATTTTCTTCTTTACCAATTCATACATTTCCTTTCCATGAGAGCTTTAGTGTCATCAACTGCAAGTTGCCCATAGCTTGCTATTGCTCTGCTCCTGCAGAGTTAATTTATACTTGGACTTCTTGGCAGCCTTTTCTTCCTTTTTTCCCCAAATGCCCAAGCCCTATAACCCTTAATTTTGCTAGTAAATTCTGTGCCCAGTCACTATTTATAACTAGAGATAATCCCAGATTCAGACAGCTGGTCTGGTACATAATTCCGAGGTCTGTGATCCCATTTAGTTTCACCACATATGACCCTGAGCCACAAACACAGTAAGGCACGCATATAAATAAATATGTTCAGCAAAGAGGATACAAATGTACACAGATTTGGATCTCATACTGTGTATGCCATACCTTACAGGTAAGGGAAATTGCAGTATAGCCAAGAATATCTCTAGCATCTTTTTGAAAGGGTAAAACTTCCCCTTAGGTGCATAATCCTAACTCCCCATAATCAGTAAGCAGAATATGTTCAATACCTACTGTTTCTTTCACCTTGAGATTAATGGAACCTCTCTACCAGCCTAAGACTACAAATTCCTCAAGAAACGCTCTACTGGAGGGGATGTAGCTCAGAGGCATGCTGTCTGCCTGGCAAGCATGAAATTCTGAATTCGATTCCTGGTTCCAAAAAGAAAAAAGAAACCATTGCCTCTTTCCTGAGGGATATACAAATGTAGAGTAAAACACAGAAGTGGGGCTGCAAGCCTTTAAGATAGGCATAAATAACAGTTATTACCTACCTACATACCCAACAGTATGTTCCACCAACCCTGTGGGCAGCTCTAAAGTCAATCAAGTTGACACAATCAAATTTAGTCAACACAGCTTCTCCAAGGAAGCTCATTTGACAATAAGAAAATCAAAGTTCACCAAAGTTCAATGTTCAGAAGTGATAGGACCAGATCCGGCTGTTTGGCCACATGGTGAGGGACTCAATGTCAGTGGTGCTGAGGCAAGCATTGCTGGGGAGAAGGGTGGTGGTTACAGCTACCATTTCCACTTCCAGGACTCTGGCCAGGTTGTTGAGCACATCCATGTGGAGGCTGGCACAGGACCAAATTCAAGACACGCAATTTAAAACAGTTGATGAAAAACTAGATATCACTATGTTAACTGGCCTTCCAGAAGAGTACATCAGAACTAGAAAAGCTTATGGAAAATGAGATAATATAGTAGCTATTGTTCATTTTCTGTTTTTTGGTTCTGAATGCCCTGTAATACTTTCATTCTCTTGAATGGTTTTATACTATTCTGTTACATTTAATATTATTGTATATGGAGGTATGCTCAACTATTTCAAAAAGACATTAGGGTAGCTACTGTTAATATCCGGTTGTCTTGTTGCGAAGTGCTGTGTTACTGACATTATTCTGTTCTGATCTACCTTGTTCTGTCCTCTTTTATCTTAATCTCTTTAAAATAAAATTTTAAAAAAGAACTTAAAAAGTTAGGATCTCTGTTCCTGCTTCCAATAATATGCAGTCTGGGGTGAACAACACGAAGAAATGGAAAATGGAGTTTGATATCAGGGAGCGATGGGAAAACCCTTTGATGGATTGGACATCAACAGCTTATTCCTTGTCCAACATGGTTCTAACCTCTGGTACCAAAGAAGATGCAGTTGCCTTTTCAGAAAAAAAGAAAAATGGATGGAACTATGACATTGACGAAAGGAAAGTTCCCAAAGCTAAGTCTGAATCTTAACGGTGCAAACTCTTCTTGGGACAAAAGAGCAAGAGTATCCACAAAATAGGTTAGCACTGGTTATATCTCTGTGCTTGACTCTGAATAAAGTCATCTGTGCAGTGTTTATAGTCCATGTGTGCATCTCTTAATTGAATAAATTTAACCTTTAAACTACAAAAAAAAAGTGATGGGACCAGAAAGAAGACAAGGACTTCTCTGAAGACAACACTCCTGTACTATGTTCAAATAGGAAATTAATCTACCTATCCATACATGCTCAACATCAAATGCATTCGTTTCTAGATGCCATTTAAAAATTACCAGAAACTGACTGGTTTATGACAGTAGAAACTAATTCTCTCACAGATCTAGAGAACATAATTCTGAAATCAAGCTCTCAGTAAGATTGGTTCCTTCTAAAGACCTACAAAGAAAATCTATTCCAGGCCTTTCTCCTAGTCTCTGATGGATGCCAGCAGTCTTTGGCGTTCCGTGGAACGCATCATTCCAATCTCTACTTCCACCTTCATGGGACTTCCCTGTCCCTGTTTCCTCTCCTGTGTTCTTGTGTCTTAAATCCCCTTCTCCTTTGTCTTTAAAAATAGGGGTCATCAGATTTAAAACAATTAGAGGGGCCGGGGATATGGCTCAGTGGTATAGTGCCTGACCAGCAAGAATGAGGTCCTGAGATTGATTCCAGGTACCAAAGTAATGAATAAATAAAATAAAGTGACTTAGAATAAGCTAACCTGAAGAATATTAATTGCATCTGCAGAGACCCTATTTCAACATAAGGCCACATTCATGAGTACCGGAAGTTACTATTTAGACCTATCTTTTGTGAGTGAAGAGGACTCTATTCAATCTACAAGCACATTGTTTACAAGCTTATTCCACCTTGTACTTTCCACTGGAGAGATTCTCAGCTGACAGCCTCACACTGAGCCAAGATTTGTGGATAACTGCCGAGACTGTATTCAGCCTTGGACATCTAGGCCAGGCTAAGAGAGAGCTTACCAGAATCACCATGGCTGTCTCATTCCATTTATCTCCCTGTTACATTTCTCACTGTTATGCTGGTTTCTTGCTTACCAAACCCAAGGCCACTGTATCAGGATAATTACATTGACTTTCCTTATTTACCAACTGTTTTTGACAATACCTGTGAGTATAGGATTTTCTGCTCTCCTCTCCAAATTAAGTCAACTTCTTCCAGTCAACTTCCTTATCTTCATGGTTTGCCCTATGTGAGCCAAACCATCCCAGGGTAGAAAGAGGGGTGCTCAGGTTAAAACTGCACTGGCAATATAGGCCTTCAAAACAAGGTGGTATTAGCATAACTCTGGTTGTTATTTTACATAATGATCTTCAAGAGTTCCTCAGTGTTCTGGGCTCTTTCCCATTGTTGTTTATTTGTCTTTTTTGCTTCATGTTTTTCTAGGAATTTGTTCTGTTTGTCTTGTTTTGGGTTTTTTCCCTTTAATACAGAAAGGAAAGTTATACATTTACAGACTCATGCATGCATAGAACTTCCCCTAAGCAGTTTATGAGAATAGATTATACAATGCACGATGAAATGAACAGCTACTTTGAAGAAAAAGAGACACTAAGGTACCCAGTGTTGATTCAGTAGTCATGATGTGAAATACAGAAATATTATTATTCTTTGTTTAGAGTGACTTTAATCTGTTTTGTATTGTTTAATTCCAACATACGTGAAGATATAGATAGCTCTTTTGAAGAGAACAAAAGACCTTATAGCAGCCACTGGTGATTTCCCTCTTGTCTGGTTTTGAAGACCTAAAATGCCTTCATCATCCTGTTCTGATCAGTTTAATACTATTTTGTCTTGTATAAATTCATTGTGTGTGAAGATGTGGACAACTATTTGGAAGAAAACAAGAGACAATATGATAGACAGTGAAGATCTCCAGTTGTCTTGCTTTGAAATCTGAGTCTCTTATATTGTTTTCTTTGAATATGTTTTGTTCTGTTTAATGTTACCCTCTTTAAAATAAAATTTTAAAAATTTAAAAAATAAAAAAAAATAAAATTTCACGAGGAACTAGCATTATACCCATCATGCAATAGTTCTTTGTAAATAAACTATTCCCAATTTGTTGTATGCTCTTGACCAACATCTGAGATTTCTGAAATGGCTGTTCTGTATAATACTGTCAAGTTTTGTCATTTTTTTGTTGAGAAGAGAGTTCATTATGTTCCCTACTCTACCGTACCAAAGTCCCACTTTTGAATTTTTACATATTAACTTTAAAAGGAGCGATTACCATGTTCCAACCTGCAACTGCATTCTCATCACGTAACAAGGCAGCGTTTTCAGGACCTTGGCCTTAGCAGTTTGCTTCCCTCTTCTTTTCCCCTTCTGCTCCATAATCCTTTTAATGTCCCCTCCTTTTTGCCTCAGTGATATCTACTAATCTATCTTTATACTTACAGAATTCTGAACATCTAATGATCTTTGTTACACTTTTCCCTAATCTTTAGTTCTAAGGGGAGAAGAGGTGAGGGAAGGAGGACATAAAAAGAATTCAGGTGTGTTACGTACACGGACCAATTTCCGATGATAAATGCAATGATTATGAGCCAGCCATGGTGGCACACACCTGCAATCCCAGCACTCAGGAGGCTGAGACAAGAGAATGGCCCTGAGTTCAAGGCCAGCCTGGGCTACATAGTGAATTCAAGGGCAGCCTGAATTACATAAGAGACCCTATCTCAAATTAACAAATCAATGTAGTAAGTCTGTACTGCAAACATGTACTTATAAATTTTTTTTTAAAAAAGCACCTATAGGGACTTCCGGGAGAACATGGTGGACAGATAGCAGATACTACAGAGGCTCTCTGAAAGGCTTGGTTCAGAAGTCAGGAATGGTGCGGACTAAGGAGACATAAGCCGGTGGAGATATGCTCTGCTGACTCAGGAACGAACTGGGCTGAGAGAAACCAACTTGGAATGCAGTCCTGGTGCTAAAACAGGAACAGAAAAGCCTCGGTGTGGAGGCTGGACCCCGTGCCATTGGAAGCCGCGATTTGGGTTTCCCGCCGTGCGGCGACTGCCTCTACAGCGGCTCGGCAAGGAGAGAGACGCGCGGAAGCTCTGAGAACGGGAGTCTGCAAACGGAGTCGAAAACAGGACAGGCAGGGAGGCGTACACTGACTTGTGGTGAGGTGAGTGAGAGAAACTGACACTCTACCACAGTTTGACTCCAGCGGAGGACTTTCTGGGCTCGGGCAGTCCTGCGGGAGCAGGGCGTGGTGGCGATTCCAGCCACACATTCCCCTCTCGGACGGGATTGGTGAAAAGTGCCTGGCCTGCGTGACGCTGCTGGTGGACTCGGTAGGCTGGCCCAACCCAGATCCCAGAGCCTGATGGTGACCCGGAGGGGCGACTCCCGCGTAGGCTGCCTAGTCCGTAACTCCCTGGTGCGCTGCGGTGGGCGGGAACACCTAGCCAGCGCAATTTGATCAGGCTGTGGCTGACAGGGAGGGAAGCTGGGCCTCCTATGTAAGCTTGCATATATAAGGAACAGAGAATATGGGAAAAGGCAGCAAGAAAGAAAGGCTCCTCGGCCCCCAATTCTGAGAAACAGGTAATAGCGGACACCGCACCAATAGACATTAAGCGCCATATAGAGAGCCTCATAGACCAATTCAGGAATGAAGTTATCAACGACCTGAAGCTAGAAGTATGCAGAATAGTTAGAGAAATGCTAAGCACCACCCAGGAAAAAACAGATGGTGGAATGGAAGAACAGAAAAAGAGGGGAGACTTGTTTGATGGAGAAAACAGAGAAAGCATAGAGTACGTGAAGCAGGTTCAAAGGGACTACCAAGAAACTAAGAAGTCTATGCAAGACTGGCATAACAGCTTGAAAGAAACTAAGGACAGACTATCTGAACTGGAGGGCAGACTTGTAATATGGGAGAATGAAATGAAAAACTTCTTAAAAATAACAAAGAAACAAACAGCAATAATACAAAGACAAGAAGATGATAAGAGGATCCATAACTTAAGGACTAAGAACATAAAAGAAGAAGTAGGAACACAAACAAGTGAACTACAAATGCTACTCACAGAAATAATCCAGGAGAACTTTCCTAATTTAGCAAAAGGTAAAGATACTCAGATGTATGAGGCATACAGGACCCCAGCTACCTACAACCCAAACAGAGCAACACCCAGGCATATAATAATAAAAATTCCAGAAATTCAATACAAGAACAGAATATTAAAAGCTGTCAGAGACAAGAAACAGACCACTTACAAGGGAACACCCATCAGAATTACAGCAGATTTCTCTGCACAGACCATCAAATCACGAAGAGCATGGGGGGAAATAATTCAAGCCTTGAAAGATAATAATCTCCACCCAAGATTGAGATACCCTGCACAACTGTCCCTGGAAATTGATGGAAAAACAAGGTGCTTCCAGGATAAAGAAGAACTGGGGGAATTTGCAACCACCAATTCAACTCTACAGAAAGTATTGCAGGATATTCTAAAAAAAGAAAAATACAAAGAATCCAGAAATAGTGGCAGGGAGGCCACAACGAATGGAGCAGAGAACAAAATGAAGACAAACTGACAGCTACTGACAGAAAAAGAGCTCAACAGAAATGAGACAGAGAAGATTGGATGATAGGAACAGCTATTTTGGAGAAAATGACATCTTAATAGGTAATACTGATTTAGTATCATCTTGTTTTGAAGTCTCATCTAGCTTTTGTTCTTCTGTCTCCAATGGTCTAAATAGGTTGTATCTTATTGGATTTTATTATGTACGATAGTATAAGCAAAAACCTTTTAAAGACAAGGAGATTATACAGAAACCATTGTTCATTTTCTGTTAGTCGATTCTAAATACTCTGTAATGCTGTCATTCTCTTAAATGGTTTTACATTGTTTTGATATACTTAATGCTACAGTATACGAAGTTGTACTCAAGGACTTCAAGGAAAGAGTCAATATGGTAACTACTTTTGGGTCGGAATTAT